CTTGCCTCACCTAAATCGCAAAGCACGAGCATGATTTTGCCGCATTTCTTAGATAGTCTTTCGATTCTGGCCATTCCTAAGCCTAAATGAACGCGATAATTGGCGGCATGGCAACATCTTTGGGAAGTGGATTGTCTTGACTGAACCAGCCGGGTATTGATAACACACAAAAAGCAGACAGCGTCCCGATTGGTGACGTGCGCGACCGAAAGCGTCGCTGTGGTCGGCCGGCCATGATTGGCCGAATGCTGACTATGACGTCAGGAAAGGATTTCTCGTCAAAGCAAATAAGAGGAATGTAAGAGCTTTAATTTTGATGGTGTTGGCAGTGTCGTTTTGAGAGGGTAATGATTTCAAGCTTCCACCATGCTCATTGCCAACACCATCAAACTCGTTGTTCGCAAGGTAATGACGTCACGAAAGGGAGCCATGGGAGGGTGCTACCAAAACATATCGCCGCTAATAGACCTTTTTCTAAATTACCCAAGGATCGAGGAGAACGCTGGTAGTGTAATTCTAGGGTCCGCGCGCGCTGGCCTTCCTCTTATAAAAGATTCCAAGTAATATTTATAATAAGGCTTTGACTAACGAGCGTGCAAGGCAAAATTTGTTTTATACTGTTTGAAGGGGTATTCACACGAGGGAGAAATCCCGGGGATTTCTCCCCGGCACGCGCATTCCACGACGAAAACGGCAGGCTTTGCGATGTGCAAAAGCCTCGCGTTTTCATCTCGCGATGCGCGCGTGCCGGGGAGAAATCCCCGGGATTTCTCCCTCGCCAGCACGTGCAAGGCATGTAACTACACTCGTAGCATGCACCTCGGGGCTTGGGAAATTTAGCGAAACACCTATAGGGACCGCTGTCTGCTTTTGTGTGCTATCAATACCCGGCCGATTGAGTCAAGGCAATTAACTTTCCAAAGACGTTGCCATGCCGACAACTATCGCCCTCATTTAGGCTTAGGAATGGCCAGAATGGAAAGACTATCTAAAAAATACGGCGAGGTCATTGCTCATGCTTTCCGATTTAAGTGAGGTAAGGCAAAGCGAAAGCCTCCTGCACGATTCGTTGGTGACTAACGAGCCCGATATTGCAGCTACAACGACATATTAGTTCCAAAGCGAGCGGCGCTCACTCACCGGGGCACCGCCATGTTTCCCCGCATCCCTACCGAGCCCCCCAGTCACGTAATTTCAAAATCCCTCTCCTAGGTACTGCGGCAAACTTTAGCCGCGGTTAGCGCTTCGAGCAAACGGGCCCAGGGTCCGTTTGCTCGAAGCGCTAACCGCGGCTGAATCGTTCCATTCCATTTCTCTAATTCCTAAACATAAAAAATGACTCTTTGCAGTTACATTCTGTTCAAAGCGTTGCCGGCATAAGCAGCATAAAGCAATTACTAAAAAATGCTAAATGCTTCAATAACAGCACGGATTCTACTAACCTCACGGTGCTGGATTGCCTGGGGTAACTGGTAGCGTCCGCAGCAGTCCATCGCAAGGTGGAACAAAGTACGCAGATATTAAAGTCAAAGGAAATGAGCGGGAATCCGCTAGCTTGCTTGTAACCCTAACCCATTTGAATTTAAAACATATAACACAGAAAACAAGCACCGGAACAATCACCAAGCTCATTACCAACACAACAAAGGGGCAGACTTACACGGAGCAAAGCGCAAGAGGAGAAGAAAGAAGTGAATCTCCCTCTGTTTTAATGCCGAAGAAAACCAGATTTCGCACTTCAAAGGTGTGCGCGCGAATGCACGTGGAAAGCAGCAGGGTTGGCCACCTGCTGAACAACGCTCCTTGAACAATAAGAAAACAATAACTGATCATCTATCGGTGGCGCGCGAGTCGACGAGTTATTAGAGCTTTGTGAGTTATGAGTCGCCACCTGCTCCCTCAGTCTGTGCGCGCGCGTGCATTATCCATGCAGTCGCAAAAAAAAAAAAAAGAAAAGCAAGGCAAGAAGGAAGATAAGGAGCCGTGCATGGCGGTTTCTTGCTGTGCCGCCCTCTTCATTCTTTTCGCTTGGTGCTTGGTTTCTTGTTTCGCTCTCGTGTAACACCAGTGAAACCCGTCGCCTGCGGCCTGCGCGTTAGTGAAAAGCGCCACCGTTAACCCCCCCCCCCCCCCCCCCCCTGCTGGTTGGTTTGACTCCTGTTTTCCGTATCGAATTTTTTTTTTTGTTAATTTATTCCTGAGCAACTAACTCGCTGACTGGCTCGGTTTAGCAAAACGCCCCCCCCCCGCCCCCCCCCCCCCCCAAAAAATAAATAAATAAATAAAAACAAATAAAGAGTTAGGCCCATTCTATTCCCGTTCCATTCCGGGCGAAATGCATCTAATTCCATTCCCATTCCGTTCCCCTCAACGTTGCCGCCATTCCATTCCGCGGTCGCGAAAATGCGGAATGATTCCGGAATCATTCCAGCTCCGGGGTGCCAACTCCGCAACACTGTAATAAGGTAGAAAGTTGGGCTAGTTGGTTTTGGTTATACATAATGACAAATTTTATTTTGCGCTGTGTATTTGTCATTATGTATATCCACAACACTGCTCCAAATGGGGTTCCACAAGCACTCTAATTGGCATTGTCCGGCATCCCCATACACTTGACTTGGACCGAGAACGTGTTCCCTCCCTTTTTTCCTTCTCCTCACCTGCACCCTTTCTCTCCCCTCCCCCTTCGCTACTTGCGCGTTCAACATGAGGGTGAGTAAAACAAACTATCTCTGCTCCTTTTTATCGGAACCGAGCTGCCATGACACGTTGAACATCCCCGTTTAAGCAACTTCGAAATATGCACCTGAAACGATCGCGACCGTCACAGTAGTTATCTGTACCCAAACCACGTTATCGATACGCCATCTGTTTCTTCAAACAGCCGTGTGACAACTAGAAAGATAGTGCTCGAGTTGCTCGAGCCAGACGGCTAGCGTCGAGGAAGAGCGCCGACTGCGCCCACTCCGGGAGACCTCGGAGATAATGCTTAAATCGAGCAGAAAAGCTGATTCGCACATTTGTGTCGGTTGCGTTCCCAACAGCCGAAACGACAAAGTCACCGGGGCGAGCGTTCGGCGTACACGACGGGGTGAGCGATGCAGAAGGTAGCTTCGCGAAGAAATCGTGAACCGCGGTTGGCCCGGAGTTTTGGTCGTTTGTGTTGGTTCGGCCGTTGTGGACGCAACCGTTGCAAATGTTTGAACAAGCCGTAAAGCGGAACTGCACTGTTCGATCTTGCACGAGCCACGGTCGTTTACAACCATGTGTCGTGTCAGCATATCTAGGCACGATAACAGGGCGTATAAAAATATTAAAATAAACGAAAGTAAAGTACAATTTGAATGCTTTTTTTTAGCATTTTTGTTCTTGTTATTTTTCACAGAGTTAAATCGACCAATGAAATTCTGCCAGCTTAGCGTTCGCGAGTAACGTCAAAAAGCGCAATCACGCACAATTGAAACGCGACCGAGATACATCCGATTTTGCTCGCCAGAGGCGCTAGCCAAACTTGACAGCTAAGGCCCTTATTGACAGCGCATCCAGATGCCGGCCGGCGCTACCCGCTTCGGGGCACCCCGCTGGCCAATCTCGATCCCTTCTTGACTTCGGGAGCTCTAGTTTGAACTGGCGTCGTATCGCCAGAGGAGCGGGTAGGCGGGCCACAGTCTGGCGCCGGGCGACGCGGCCGCTAGAACCTTCGGAGAGGTCGACCCCACGCAGGCACTGCTGCGTTGTTCCAGGGAAGCAAAGGCTGAACTCCCTCGAGGTTAGTCCTTGCTCGTTCATCTGCCGTCACTCGCTTCGCAGAGCGAGCGTTGATGTCCTCGTCGTCCCGTATGTCATCACAAACGCGATTTCAACTTGATGTCACCGCGTTTGTCAGTTCTTCGTGCTGTGTTTTTATGCACAAGCAATAAGTCCTTTACCGCATTCAACGTCACAGGAATAGGACTCGCCAACGGCTTGCAACGCCAACCGTTGTAAATATTTTTTTTTTCTGGTCTGACTCAATAAGCCGGACGCCTTGGAGATAAAATGAACCGACTTCGCGGACGATAACCTGGGCACACTGTTCAGCTAAGGCGAAACAGCCAGCGGGACTTTCATTGGGAGCTGCCCGCGGGCTCCGACACACGCCTTCTGTAGTTTCCAATCATGTGTCGGTTCTCGTATAGATCGACACGCTGTTTACAAACAAGCCCGCGTTTGCCCACACCAGGTGTGGGCACTGCGCATGCGCAGAAACCGAATTCGAGTGAACGGAAGCTTCTGCGCATGCGCAGTGCCGTCGACAGCGCCACCGCAGCTGCGTGACGCCAGGGACGCGTGTTGGTCTATAGATGGATGAATCCGGCTGAACCTTTTGGATCGGGCGGTAGCTTACGCCACCTAGCCATTTTGTTTTACGATTTAAGTTTAGAATATTTAAATGCGAAAACTATGTTTACTCCGCACTGAAAAGAAAGTGAGGCTATAAAACCCCCTTGCCATTAGTTAATAAGAAAATACCTAGTTTTATCTCGCTTTCTGCCACCATTCACTTAATCTTTGCTTGGTAATCTCAACTGTCTTGAAATCTACTTTTCCTTTGCTGTCTCTAAAACCTAATGACTTTATTAAATCTATGTTGCCTTCGGTAGGCAGAGGGTGAAACCATTTTACAGTAGAGTATCCAATGCTCAGCCGTCTCGTCTTTCGAAAGAAGACTTCTTTTGAAACACCGCCCCCTGTTGGCAGCTGTGGAATCCCAGCACAATGGCGGACTAAAACCGTAAAGTCACGGCACACTTTACGCGTTTGGTCGGATGAAAAGGCAAAAACACACCCGCAGAAAAAGGTGATCGGCGCAGTGACGCTACACTTTGGAAGCTGCTTCATTGGCTCGTTGCATCCCAGCGTTGGGTGTGATCCAACTTTCGCTATCCTATAGAATGACTCGCACGTTTCACGATGTCAGTTGTTCCGCCATTGTGCAGCTTTTCCGAGCATCTAGTAATCAACGCGTGACTTGCGGAAGGGGTTTATTGAGTGACACGTTCCCGCTCGCTTCGTTCCCCATCTTAACCACGCAGATGCAGCACCCCGACGCAGTTCGTTCCGGCTCGTCGTCGTCGTCGTCGTCGTCCGGCTGGGCCAGCGCCCGTCACAAGGCCTACACCCTGCTTGGTGCCTCCGTCTCGGTCAGCCTAGCCGTGCTGGGCACGTACCTGACCGCCGCCGTGCATCCGGGCTTTCTGCCCGTTCCCTTCTTCGCGCTCTTCGTGCTGTGCCACGTGCTCGTGCACCCGTCGACCGCCAAGAGCTGCTACTTCGGCCCCCCGGTCATCCGCTACGCCATGCCCAGAGAGTTCTCCTACGAGATCATGGTCCTCAAGGCTCAGCCAGACTACATGACCGTCCCCGTCAGGAAGGAAGCTCCGCCGCGGCCTCGACCACCTGTCCGAGTGACTACGAACCGCGGAGCGTACTGCGCCCCGATCGTGCCCAGTTTCCAGGTGCCGCCCGTGGCCATTGTTGTGATGTAAGCCTGGAACTCTGGTTCCTGAAGCGCGTCTACGTCTTCTGCATGTTTACCGTGTCCTAAACAGTCTATCGCTCTGCAGAAGAATCTGGAAACAGATTGCGTCTGATGAAATCGTAGAAGCGTCGCGCTGTCGCCGGCCGCTCTCGTGGTGGCCTTACAGCAGTGGTGCACGGTGGACGAGGCAGACGCCTTTTCTGCAGCAGGTCACTCTTCAGCCCGAGTGTCCACGGAGGCTTCAGCAGGCGGGAGGAGTTGGGATGTTCACTCCGGGGCTTCTAACGCCAACCACCAGTATCGCGACGTCCGAGAACATGACGTGGCGGCTTTTATGAGGTCATTTGATGCCACTTCGGGACCATTTTCGATGTACAGGCTGGGCACGACACGAAACAAACACACCAGTCGGAGACGCTCTTCAGGTTCCATACTGAAACGTGAAGAACTGGCTTTCTCAGTTTCCACGGGTAAACTATTCGGGGGAGTTTGTTAGGCGATGCTGAATGGTGCTATCTGACGTGACTGACCTCTCCGGGCAGTCTCTTTTTCTACCTATCGTGGTCGTGCGGCCTTCATCGTGATCCAACTTCATAATATTTCACTGCCAATGTAAATACGTATTTATGGTGTACATAACGAGGAGGTGTTCCTGCATCAAAAGCAATAAATGTTTTGTTTTCCTGGTATGCTGCTTTTTGTCTTTGAACTTCTTCTGAAATGCTTTTTTTTTTTGTCAAAAAAAGGCGGTTGCAGATTGTTTTTTGATTTCTCTTCTCGTCTGCGTGCACGTGACTGCTCATATTGTGAACTTTAACATATTTCAATTATAGAGCGTGGGCCCAACGAATGGGACACATTTTAAATTAACCTCGAAAATCGGTTTTCTATGCTCGCGACAGTACTTTAGCAAAAAAAAAAAAAAAAAAAAAAAGCGACTGCGTGATGCATTTTTTTACTATTAAAAATCTAGGTGGAGTTAAAATTTACTAATGGAAAGTAAAATCGTCTTATGCAATTCGACCTTTGTGGAGAGTGAAAAAGTGGACCATTAGAGCCGTTTTATTGCGCGAAACAGGGAAGTCGGAATTGTTTTCTTCGTCCACTTAGTTATTTACGCAAAATAAACGTTCACAACAACGCTTGTTTTTCAACACTGGCACACTATTTGCTGAACTGCATACTGAGCTATACAACTTCTTGCGTTTCAGTTTAATTTTTGAATGATACACGCATTTTTTTATTTTTAAACAAAACAACTAAAAATGCACCACCCAGCCCCACCTTTGTGCTAAATTAGTGTCGGAGCAAGCGGAACTGACATCTTAAAGTTATTTAAAGTGTGCTCGATCCGTCAAGCCCTCACCGTAGTGCCACCACCATTTCAGCCGTTAAGAAAGAAGTAGGAAAAATCGCTGACTGAATCTAGCGTGTATCCAGTTTTCGTCAAATATTTGTGAAGTGCATTTCAGCAGTCTGTTTTTCGTTCCGAAGTATTAGGGTGTACTCATCTAAACGGGTGCATTGAACGGGTTCTACCCTTTTCATCACCCAAACGTTTGCAAGATAGAACGGGTACCAAGTAAGGCTGCCGGATTCATATCCAATCGCTATCGATGCACAAGCTGTCTGCATCGAAGTTCGCCGCAAACTTTTCGACCGATAAGTACCGAGGCAATGCTGACTCGGATGAAACTATTTTTGTCCCCTTCTGCGTAATCGTTACTTCGGAAATATTTACGAATCTGATACGTTTGCAAACTGTGATAGTGCAACTAAAGAAAGGACAGTAAACCCATTATGCCTCATCGCATTCACAGACGGACACTTCTATGAACTCTCTTTCATTAAATGCATGAACGAATGAAAGTGTCCGTCAACGAATGCTGTAAATAGCGCAAGCGTGTCTGCTCGGTCAACGCGCTGTTTCCAAACACACGAGGCGTGGTCAAACGCGCAGTTCCCGCACGAGGTGTGGGCACTGCTCCTGCGCAGTGCCCAGATAGTGTCTGGATATGCGCCCTGCCAATAGCAGCGCCACCGCAGCGGCCGTGACGTCAGGGCCGCGTCTTTGTGTATACCTGCCTGCTTTGGCCTTATGGCTGGCCGCGTGTTTAAAATAAGGAAAAAAGAAAAATAAGCTTCGTTGTTCGGTTTTACTTCACAAGATGGGGCTACAGGAAGAGGGGCTATTTCTGCAGTGACGAAAGTATGTTTGAATTACGAAGAGCGCCCGAAGCAGCGGAGCAAGTTTTTATAATAGCATCTTCGATCAACCCGCACCGGAATCGCACTGAAACCAGCACAGTGCACAGCGCTCCTCGGTCGTGCAGCGCGATGTCGGTGCAACATCGAGGACAAACTGCGCCGCGCCGGTGCACCGCGGCGAGCTCCACCTTGCGTCACTTCGCGCTTTGTTCGTTTATTTTGCGTTGGTCAGCGCACGGTGCCCGTCTGCTGTCAATTTCTTTTATTTTTTTACTCGCGGATTTGACGGTCCCACAGAAATAAACATCGTGGACGTGATTGTCGATGGGGTCACGAAGCGGGTGACAATTCCACATGTATATGTTGGCCATCATTATTAGTTCAAGAAAACGAAACACCAGATAATAGCCGTACCTCGCTGTCATCGAAACGCCTCGCGCCGCTTTCCACGAAGTTCGTGCTTTTCGGGCGTTCCTTGCCACCAAAGCAATCGCTAGCAATCGCGGCGATGGTGGGAAGCTCGTCGTCTCGCCGTCAGAAGACCCGAGGAAATCATCTAGTGCAGCTGCGAGGCGTGTTCGTTTTTGCAAGATCGCAATCTCGATAGTCTGCGCGTCTGCTACTGCCGCCATCTTTTCGATTCCTGCTCCTGGCCGCAATGCCTGATGGGACTGCCCCACGGCGCACCGCCGATTTTCTTGGTGCACGTTGGGGCAACGAAAAGCCGCACCGGGAGGGTGCGCTTCGTTGATCGAGGACGTACGGTGCGCACCGGTGCACTTGATGGAAGATGAAGGGGCGAACCTCAGTGCCCCGGTGCGCACCGGTGCGGATGATCGAGGATGCTATAAACTTTTGAATGCGTTTCTGTATTTTGACATCCTGCGCAGGCCAGGCCGAATAAAGCTAATCTACAGTCTTACCGGTACAAATCATTATTTTCCCTCATCTTCGGGTATATGAAAAAGATAAAGTATTATCATTATTAGTTTTGTGATAGTTCTACTGATATGGTGTCCAAATAATATAAACCTTTGTTTACTTCATAACGTTTACATCCTTTACGCCTCAAACTTAAAATATATATAACGAGTTTTTTTTTTCTGTGTGAATGTTTACGTAAATGTAAATGAATGTGCTGAAGTCGTCTTCGCAGATACAGCTCAGCGCTAACTCACCGCTACAGACACACCGCTGACGTTGAGCGCTGTAGCAACAACAACAACAGCAACAGAAACAATCAATCAATCAATCAATCAATCAATCAAATTTTTATTATAGAGTGCCCAGGACCAAACCTGAGGTCTTGGTGCTGGTACACTGGTAGATAAAAATACATTATACACATCTCTGCAGAAAAGGAGATACATTTCGAAGCATGATACAAGGCAGTACTGGAGTAATTAGCAGAATAAATCTAAAAATGAGGCAGTGATAGTAGACGCGGAACACAAGCCCGTAGGACAACAAGTGCACCACCAGAAAGCACGCCATGGAGATGACGAAATTCAGACATAACAGAGCCATTCAGCAACGCTTATCCTGCACGGGCAAGTTTTTAATAGAAAGGACAAACGTCCTGTAGCAAGGGTGGAAAATATTGCCGCCCGCAGAGCCGAGAAAGCAACGCTTCGTCACGGTCTTCTAGAAGATTCCCGTTCATTCTCGCACCAGACGTAACTTTTCCTCTGCTTTGTTATTCTCGAAAGTGCCAGTTCATCCTCGGCCCGAGCGTGCGACGCTCGAGCCTTCTTTGCCGAACTTTCGAGATAGTGACGCACGGTAGATAAGCAGCTACCCGCGACCTTGTGGAGTCAGTCACGCTGGTGCTTTCTGTTTCGCCGCCGAGTCGCCGCCTGCTTTTCTGCTCCCTCTACGCTCTTTCGTTACATATTTTGTTGGCACAAGTTCGCCCATTAAACCTTTATCTTCAGTTTAATTTTCAACTTCTCGTCGCCTTAATTCGTGACAATATAATTTTTTTCAGAGTAATGATTCAAACGCTGTGCCATTCTCACCATTGGGTTTACCGGACTAAACGTTCTAGAAACATATAGAAACATAAAAAGATGACAGAAGACGAGTAGGCACATGTGGGACCCTAAGACACAGTTCAGATAACAGGCTCGGAGAATTGATGAGTTCATGCAGCGTTTTAAACAAAGAGTAAGTCCGCGTTCTCCCGACGCCGGTGCAAGCTAAGCAAACCAACACGCTTTAACGCAGACTTATATGTTAAACAGTGAACATCCTCCTTTATGCCCCGATGTTTAAAGATAGAAACAAACATTTTTTGCACACGTTCGATTTCCAAGGAGTGACTTTTAGAAATTCCATTCCAAACAACTGAGGCATATTCTAACTGCGACCTGGATAGCGACCAGTATACACGAACTCAACTCTGTGACGTCACGGCGCGGTGGTAGCGCGTCAGTCGCACTTCCGATCTGGGGCTGTGGGCAGAAGTTTCCATGCCAGACGTGTATTCCTGCGTTGTTTGAAAGGAACCAGACAAAAACCTGCCTTCTCGTCAAAACGCCGCGACTGGGGCCATACCAAAAGCGTCAAAAAAGGTTTGGAGGTCAGTTTTCACGTGCTCGGTTCGTCCGAGAATCTGGATATGTGCCGTGAAAAGGGAAAAGCAGACGCCGTCGCTTAGGCGGGAAGCACTTTGGGTTGAATTCACGGATACTTGTGGTCATCAGATTTGTTTGTTTTGTTCCAAGAAGAAGGCCAGAAAACTGTCAAGTTGTGCGGACCAACTGCGGACTACGTTCGGTGCGTCTTCAAGTTCAAACGGCCACCTGATCGTTCGAACTGTTGTCTGCTGTTTCAAACGTTTCTGCTTGGCGTCTGCTCTCTTAGACGACGCCGGCCCGTAGACGAAATGTTGGCCTGGTATACTTGCGATAAGAAGTTAGTGTAGGCCTCAAAAGACTTAAATTTGAAGGCTGGTAAGCAGGCTCGATGTAAACAGTAGATACAAGGAGTTGTTGATCATTGTTACCAGCGACTATCACCGACTTGTTATCTATATTTCACTTGGTCCGATTCTGCTTGCGATTTTCAGTATCGACGTGGAACATCTCAGCTACGGTTCACGCTTTTGCAGCCCGAGAGGCGTCGCGACTGAAAATTTCGAGCGAAATCGCATCATGCGAATCAGGCTCTACACTCTTAAAAAAAAAAGAGTCGCTGTGACTTTCTTTGGGGGGTATTGGCGCGCCGCAGATTTGACTCCTCCACGACTCCAGTTTGTAGAGTCACTTGACTCTTATTTAAAAAAGAGTCCTGCGACTCTCATCACACTGGAGTCATGGTAGTGTATGGGCGACTCCAGGTGACATAGTCAACTGCGACTCTTTAACGAGTCTTATCCAACGGAGAAAAAGAGTCACACGACTCCTTCCTGGTAATCCCCGTTACCCTGTAACAAGAGTTGTGAGGACCCTCCTTTTATGAAGAGTCCCCCGACTCCTGT